ACAGAGTTGTCTAGATTTGCCTCTAATTCACTTCTAGCCTCATGTCCACTGAAAAGAATATGGAAATACTGAAATTTGAATGTAGATGGTTTGGGTTGGTCTTTTAAGCACCTGATGAGGTATAAAGGCAATGATCTCTAATGAATAAAAGGCAGAGCCAGGTATCATGATTCAATTTTCCCCTAGTCCTCTGGTTGATGTGTGAATTCAGACAAAGCACAATTTCCCTGACTCAGTCGAAATAGGACACCACCACACATGACCAATCCTCCAAAAACATCATGAAGATTTGTGAAAACCACCAAAGAAGAGCTTTGGGCATCTTGGGAGAACATAATTGCCAAAGACCTCATCCAAATATAGTCCTTCACTTGTGTTCTGAATCTTAGTTTGAAAGGAAATAGTTTGGGACTTATTATTTGAGGATCTGGGACCAGGACTCCATGAGGCCTGAGGGTGGGGCTGAGGAAAGGTGAGGAGGGTCTGGGATGGGGCCTAGGGATCCTCGTAGGGGTCAGAAGAAGGTCTTCGGATTAGTGGAGCTAGAATATCTTCCTGCTCAGCTCAGTCAGGGTTCCCTAGTGGAAGTTTCTCTTGCTTCTACTGATGCCTGGTTTCAGGGAAAGGGAAATTGCTCCAAAGATTGGGAGAAAGAGGAAGGGTATTTTGGTCCCACGGTGGGAGCAGGATTTACTTTAGCTGAGAAAAGGTTTTACTTTCATTCCTCCTTCCATACCACACCTTTCCCAATCTTCCTTATATTCTCAAATAAATTTTAAGAGCTCTTCCTTCCCACTCACTTGTCCTATACGTTTGTGACTGGGCACTTCAACAAGGTGTGAAGCAGGATGCTGGAGTCAGGGGTTGGGGGATGAGCAGTAATGGGGGACTAGGCTGTGACAGGGGAGATGAGTATACAGTGATAAGAAGGGGAGGAAGAAGAAAGAAAGAGCATGAGTGTTCTTGCAGCAATCCAGTTAAGGGTACAAAGAGTGCACTCGAGTCATCTCTGTTTCACCGTCTCACAGCCCTCTCAGGGAAGCTGCCTTGCCCACATCTGCTGCTGCTTAGGCAGCCACGCTTGCAGCTCATCCCTCAGCCCATGACTGACTGGCTGGCTGGTGACCAATGATGTTCTCTGAGACAAAACAATGAGATGAGCCTGAGCCAATGAGATTCTCTCTTAGGAATTTTAACTAGGAAATACCAAGGAAAAAGGCCAATGGCAATTGAATTTGAAAGAGTGAGGTATTAAGAGAAGAGCCCAAGAGACCAGGATGAGCCACATGCAAGCTGAAGTTTTGAGTAAGCAGAACTAGTGTGTCGGGCACGCCTGCTGGGAGACAGAGAAGCCTTGGGCGGAAATGCAGAGAGGAGTAGAGACTCCAAGGTAATGAATCCCCAGGGCTGCCTCTGGCTCCTAAACGCTTTCCAATTCCAGGCCACCTGTATCCTTAATGACCCCTGTTCCCTTTTATCTGAGGTAACCGAGATTCTTCTCAATGAAAAGAGACCAACTATAACTAACAGTTTGTACAAGTTCTGTGTAGGTAAGTGGAAACTGAATTATTATCTGAAGACATTTGCTTTGAGGAGGATGAGGAGGCTGGTTCCCTTAGCAAACATGGCCTACCACCATTGCTTATTTGGAAGCATCTTGTGTACTTGAGATTAGGTTTTAGGCAGAAAATGGTATGACCTAATTTCTCCCTTTGTTCTTTTGATGTCAGGGTAGGCCAAGACTATGTTTGAGTCCTGAAGAAAGCAGGTCTTGGCATCTACAAAGAACTGGTCTGATCTGAGAAAGTGAAGTCCTTTTTAAGTTACTAAGATCCAGGTCTACAAATCTCTGAGCAAAGCTTTAAAACCGTGACTTTTTACTAGTTAAAAGGAGCAAAGAGGTGTGGCAGCCATGTTTGTTCACCAACAAGATCTCGTGAATCATTTCTCATCTCTGATTTCAGGGCTCAAGAGGCTGAACTGGAAGGAAAAGCGAGAGCAGCTCTTGTTAATACGAGCCCTCATCTGTTATGTCCACAGCCTCTTGGAAATGTCCCCCAGCAAGGCTGCCATCAGCACTTGACTGAAAACATATGGAAGCGGCCCACTCAGAGCAGGAATTCATTATTGGAAGAATAATAAGGGAAAGTTTTTTTTCTCTCTCTCTGCTGCTGGGAGAGCTGCTTTCTGGAAAAGTCGCAGGGCTTAGAGGAAATCTGAATCATGTCTGGTACAAGGCGGGTTATGGAGGCAGAAGAGCACACTTCCAGAAGCCTTTCACACAAAGCATGACGGTCCTGGGCAACTCAAAGTGAGTTGCTCCATCTCAGATGTATTACTGAAATCAGGCCGTGGCTCCGGAGTTGAACCCACGATCCTTTCCCAGAGTTAGCGTCTGACAGCTCCAAGGGAAGAGTACCCAGAGTTAACTGGCTTTCCCTGGCTACTCCTCTTTTTCAAAAAGGTCACCTGTGAACTCAAATGGCCTGTAAAACTATCTGGTCTTCCTTCTTCAACACCACCCCATAAGTCTTTGATATATGCCAGGTCGTCCAAGGGAAAGGTATATACAAGGAGTGAATGTGAATGCAGCAGACATTTGCCAGCTCACTGGGTATAGCAGCGTGTGGTCGACATTGCAAGTGTTCACTAACATGCAGTTCTCCTTCCCTTCTGAATACAGGGGAGGTTTGTACTTCTCATCTCCTTGGAGTTAGGAGTGGACACATGACTGCTTGGCCATGAGAGCAGAAGTGATGGGTGTTATTTCTTGGGGAAGCACTTAATTGCCAGTGCACAACCTGTCTCTGTCTTTCTCTTCCCCTACTGTGGCAATTGTGGAAGTGCATGTCAATACTGAAATGAAACACTGAGTCATCACGTGGAGGAGAGCTTCCCTGGAGAGTCCCTCAGACGTGCGCAGACTTTAAGTCATGGAGATTTCAGGGGGCTGTTTGTCTAGGCAGCAAAACCAAGTCTGTCCCAACTTATGCTCAGTATTTATCGGTCCTCTCTCCTCCCAGATCTATTTGGAGTTCTGGAGAACTTGTGCTCCATCTGAACCCTGTCCTCACTGAAATTCAGAGAAGTAGGCAATGTGCTTTCTCATTCATACTTAGGATATTCATTTGAGAATGTGATGGGCTCCTTCCTTTCATTTGAGCAGAAGAGGCCTCTACTGAATTCTGTAGTGGAATAAAGAAAGTCCTTTCACAGCCATAGGACAAAAGTGATGGTGATGATATTAAATCCAAAGCTCAGAAGAAAGTGACACTCCCAAGTGGATCTAAGACCACAGTTTTTAGAACACAATCAGATATTTTGCACTTCCCTTTCCCTTCATTTCCCTCCACTCCCTGCCCCTCACCCCCACCCGCCAATTACCTAACCCTCATTCTCCATCTTCAGAATTCTCATTTGTCAATCTTGGTTTTGCTGGACAAACTTTTACAATCCTGTCTCTGAGCAGTATTTGCTCACAATATACAACATAAAAGACACTATGCATGGAGTTCAGCACTTCTGGGTTGATCCAGAAATGTTCGCTCTGTGGGCTGATAGGGACCACATGCTTCTCCACCTTCACCAGGACTGCAGCACATCAACATGGCAGCTAGGAGGCTAGCCAATTAGGGAGACAGTTGGACTTTGCCATATATATGTACACACACAGCAAGAAAAAAATCACTGCATTACATCCAAGTTCAATAAAAGTAATTAACAATACAAGATGCCTCACTGGCATCTCATGGGTGGCACCAGTGTGGATCTTCAGCTCATGAATACCACCTGTGTCTTCTTTCTTGCGAACATTCTCTGGGGCCACTTATCCTGTGCATGTCTCCTCATCTTTAATAATAGTGAAATGAGAAAAGAGTAATGGAGCCCCTACCCTGTTCTCAGCACCACTGCCCAGGTCTTCCACAGTTACTTCTCCCAGTGGAAGATCAAACCACTAGCACTGCTCCTGGTGATTCTTTTATTTGGAAAACATTCACTGAGTTCCTATTATGAGTAGTATCGTGTTGAGTACTTTGGTGAATTGAGGAGGACTAGGAGAGGTGGTAACAGAGGTGAACAGAAATACTACATGGGCGAGGGTGAGAGAGAAAGAAGCAAGATGGCCTGAGTTCAGATCCACATTCCACCACTTTCTAGCAAGAGAAAAACTTTTCTGAACTTTTCTTCCTTGTTCCTCATCTGTGAAGAAGGAATGATGCGGAGTCCCACCTTGTGAGACTGTTAGGAGGATTAGATAAGCTTATGCACATACAGTATGTATCAAACCTGCAGTCACACCCAACAATGGCACAAAGCAAAGGCAGAGCTTAGGTCCTGTCCTGGCAGCACAGTGTGTGGGGAAAAGCCCTGGCGGGCCCTGGAGCAGGAGAACACGGAGACTGATTTGTCAATCACTGGGTGTAGAGCACTGTCTTAGTGTTTTCTGGGGTCAAAAAGATAGTCTCAAGGAGGAAGCCATTTCATCTTCGACATTTGGCATTGGGATACGTTTTCCTCGCACCTTTCTCAGACACTTTTGAGTGCCTTGTTTTAATGGGGGAACTGTTTAGCTTTTCTTTCCTGGTGGACAATGAAAGCAGATAGAGATCGAACTAATCATTACAGAGAAGAAAGCATCTTTCTCAACTTCTCAAATGATCTCTTGATGTATGAAATGAGCCAATTCATGCAATAAGAATTCAAAGGAAATGTACATTTAATCAGCTGCAAAAACTCAGCTTGGTTTTCACAAATGTTCTATTGAAGACCACAAGTTCTCAAAATGCACCTCACTCAGAGGGAGACAAATGACCACAGTCTGGAAAGCCTGTACTCCCCCTTCTTCTGGGTCCACCTAAATCCTTCTCACCTTCCGATGCCCAGCTCATCGTTTGCTCTCCAAGAACACCTTCCCTGATTCACTCCAGCTGAATAAAGTGTTCCTCAATTTGCCCTTGCAGCACATGGCTTGGACATGCATCGATCAGATCACTTTATTTTATTCTGTTTTATATTATAGTTAGTAGTATATGAGTCTTTTCCATTCCTTGTAGTACAGTTCCCAAGGACAGGGCACATATCCTATTTTTTGAGCTTCACCTTAGCACTTGTATATGCTCAACAAATACTGAATTGTTAAAGGACTTAGTCATTCCACCATTCTTCACTGATCTGAACCTACTCTGTGCACAGCACTCTGTTGGGCACTGATAAGAGGCACGAGATAGGACAAGACTTGATTCTAGCCTCCAAGGCATTTAAAAATCTCTGAAGGGGGAGCAGGTACAAAGTGACTCTATAGAGGACAGCTTGGGGGTCACTAACAACTTGGGTAAGAGAGGTCCCAAAGCCAAAGGCTGGGAAGATTTGATGCCCAACTTTGAAAGGGCTGAAGCCCCCAGGCCTTGCACTGAACCCAGCCTCGAAGCTTTGTCTGAAAACGTCATGGCAGTACTAGGGAATAGGCTGAGTGTTCTGCTGGAAACAACTAAATTATCCTATGGGTCACCAGTTGATTTATTTGCTAATTGACTGGCCCAGTTTTGGGCTTTAAATGTAAAGAAATCATTTCATCCTTTATTAAATACTGCATGAATCTCACTCTTTGTTCTGCATGGCTATCCACAATATACTAGTGAAACTTCGATTTACACCACAATAGTGGTGCCACTAATGACCTTCCAAATGCCACTAATACCATACACGTTCTGCCTCTCAGCTGGATCCGAACCTGTCAGTGAATTCTGAACCCATCGACCTCCCTCTGACACAAGAGCAAACCCCCACACCCATACCCGCCCCCAGCCTCCCCCATCTTTCCATGATTTCATTTCTGAATCGGTTACTCTTTGGAGACCCCAATTCCTTTACACCTACTCTTTTTATTTGGTGGACAATACTTTATTCGGAAATGTTCCCTCCTGTAATTACAAATCCTGTTAGTCATCCTCCTCCTCTCCCCAGGGGGATTGTGGGCTTTAATTAATTAATGTGGTTAAACCTCTTTGAGGTGCCTGGTTGAAAGGTGCTATATAAGTGCAAATTATTATTATTATGGCTGTTGACATCCCATGGCGGCAAAGCCTTCAGCCCCACGCATCTAGAGAACTGAACAAAGGCTTCTTCATCTTCACCTTCCCTGCTAGGTCTGAGATGGCTGGCTCAATGGTATGAGGGCAAATCTGTTACCATCTCAACAGCAATCAACTAATTAATCCCCATTATGTTGGCTTCCGTTTCCTTCTTCCAAGCAGCACAGTCCTGTTTCATTTCACAAATCACGCCCCCATCAGCTCTAGACAAAGGTCATAGTGTCCCTATGGCCTCTGTTGGCCTAAAGGAAAAAAAAAAAGAGGGAGAGAAAGAAAGTTTGAAAAAAATGTTGTTGTCATGAAATGCACTAACTTCTCCCTAGCAGTCTAAATAAAACTTCCCTTCCAACAGTGGTCCACTCACACACATACTTGTCTATTACCTGGGGAGCCAACAGCCTCACAAACCAGAGACACGCAGAAACACAGCACAGGTTGGGGCTAAGGCCCTGCAGCCCTGGCTGGACTGCCGATAGCTGTAGACAAAGGGGGCGTCTTTCTGGGCTGGCTGAGAAGAGGTCATCCAGAGAAGTGGGAGCCCCTCTTTGGCTTCCTTCTCTTCCTCCTCTACCCCCAGGTTTCCCCTGAGAAAGCCAGCTGCGATCTGTAGCCAGGAAGCACTCACAGAGGCAGGGGACCAAGATATAGATGTTTTGTGCTACACCTAGCACACCCCAGCCCTTAACAAATGCCCAGTACTTCTACTATGATGGTAGCCGTTGAGAGCAGCCCTGTGGGGGAGACTTGGCCTCTCGAAGGGACGCTGCTGACCAAAATGCTCCTTACAAGGTTGTGCCTGAGACCCTTTGTTAGTGTGGACGTGGGTGAGCCTCAGGGGGTCATGTCTTCATCTGCCTCCATTTATCCTCCCTATTGAAGGGCTCCTTCAGGACATCGGTCAGTCTCTGTGGGAAGTGATTTGGAGAGCAACAAAAGAACTTGGCCCTTTGGGGGGCCTTCAGAATTCAGTAAACATCTGGACACGGAAGGCAAGGTTCTCAAGCAGTCTAGCTGGGGAGATGTCAAAAGAGAGAAAGAGCTGTGTGTGTAATGCAAGCTCTTAGTTCTGTGGCAACATTTGTTGTAGAAAAACACAGACGCCCTAGTAGGTAGATAGGAAGATTTTTCAAAAGCTCCTCTATTTGTCAGTTTTTGTGAGTGCAGTGCACTGTTTGTCAGTTCTCATGGCATGTGTGAGGAAACAGGAGTTTTGTGTGGCCTGGGAGCTGCATGTGATGGATGCTCTGATTCTGTATGTACTATGAATAACCCAGGGTTGCACAAGCCTGTCCTGGGAGTTGTTGTTAAGCATTTCTGTTATCCTTGAAGTTTGTAAAGTACTTTCTAGTCAAGGTGACTTGGTGGATTCTCATCACAAGCACATTTTAAGTGACAAAATAATGAAGTACGAAGGCTAAGTGATTTATGTTTTATCACATGGTAAAACTCAGGATCTGAACTCTTGACTCTCAGCGTTCCCTTTATTGTGGAATCAATCCATTTAGAACACATTAGTCAGCATGAGTCAACATTAGTCACATGGCACTAATCAGCATTCCCTAGTGTCCCCAAATCTATCCTCAAATAGCAAAAGAAAGTGGCCTCTGTCAAGAGACAATGGAATGCCATTTTCATCAGTATTCAGGAGCTGACATCCAGTTCAAGTCCCAAGTACTCTCGGGAACCTCCCTCAGTCATCCTAGTTGGAATAAGTCTATCTCATCTGTCCTTCCATATCCCATTGTTTGAAACCTGAAAATAGGTGTCATGGTTGCCTTTGATTGAACTTATTTTGTTTTGAGCTAACTAGATTCTGAGCTACTAAAAGGAAGGGACCTTTTTTTTTTCAGCCTTATATCCCCCTGAGCACCATGGTTTGATAACAATAGATGCTCAACAAATATCTGCTGAACTGAACTCACTGAAATGGAGCTTAATTCATATTCCAGAAAGAACACCAAGTCCTTTTGGATGAGGTTTTCAAAGAAAATCAACAACCTGAATTGATTTAACATCTTTTGCTATTATTACCTGGGCATTTTCACAAATGCAAATTGTTAACTCTGCAGAGATAGCCAAATGGCTTCCAGGTTCTAAAAGAGGAGTGTGGATCCAGTTTATCCATAGTCCAGGCCTTGGAATAAAGATTTTCTCTATAACCTTATTCCAACTGATATTTTGTTCCATGTTTTAAAAGAATGTAGAGACAGGAGAAAACATTTGGGAAAAAAATGTGTTTAGTCTTTGACTTTGGACCCAAATTCATACCCTGCCTGGTGCCATAAGCACTAGTAGCTCTTGTTCACTTAAGTATCTTTCTTGCATATTGCATGATAGCAAATCATTAAAGTTTCTGCTTGAGAGAGATTCTCTTTTGGGTGGGGGACCAAGATTTCTGGGTGCTGGTCGTTGGTGGCTTACTGACTGTGATATCCTACTTCTCTGCTCCAGACTCCACCAAAAGAGGGCCCTGATAGTATTTTTCACACACAATATTTATGTTGCATTTCAACATTATGCAACGATCGCAGCCCTAGGGTCTGTACTATTGCACCCTGGGGCCTAATCTCTGCAACTGGGCTCCTCTGAAAGGGGTGTGTCACTGAATATTCATCTCCCCTTCTCTTTCAAGGTAAAAGAACTCCCAAAATTTAGCTGAGCATATGGCCACCCAGATAAACAACTACATTTTCCAGCCTTCCTTTCCACGTATCTACAGACTGGCCAACATGATATAGGCAGAAATAATGTGTATAACTTGTGGTTAAAATCCTTACAGGAAGGAGAATGCCCTTTCCTCCTACCACCATTCTCTACCCCACACAAATCCTGCTACCTGGATGGACAACATGATGCTGAGCCATTTTGGAATGACAATAAGGGCAACATCCTAGATGTGATGGGGCAATAAGCTAAGATCCTGGGTTCTGGACAAACACATGGGGCCAAGTGGCTATACCAGCTCTGGACTGCATTCCTCCACAATGCTATGTGAGAAAGCAGTAGATCTCTATCTTGTACGCCACTGTTAATTTAGGTTGTTATTCCACTCAGCCAAACTTATAACCCAACTACTCTCAGGAACTTTCTTGAGGGATTGCTGTATCAGTGTGACTGATCCATCTCAGCTTAGGATTTCAAGATTCAGGAGGGGTCTGGAATATACCAACAGAGGCTCATAAAGCCTGAGAGATAAGTTGCCAAAGGGGCTGCCATGATGAAAAACGAGGGGGCCCAAATCCACTTCTAATTTTATAAAATCTTAGGAGTCTAGGCTGAATATTGGGAAAGGGCTACAAACCCAGTTTTGAGGCAGTGAACATCACTTTACCTTTCTGGAACTTAGTTCCCTCACCTGAAAATAAAGGTGGTGAACAAAAACTAAAAGCTCTCTTTGTGGGAAGTGCGCACAGGTAACTTTAGGAGAAGTAATTTTTGTCAGTTAATCCTTCAAGTATATGCATAAAGCACATGCACCATGCAGAAGATCACTCTAGAGGCCATGGAAAGCTTATACCCCAATGGCAGAGATAAAAGAGTCATCCATAAAGAACATATAAGAAAATTACATGTGGAAAGATGACAATAAACTTATACACAGCTCCATAGAAACTGGTCCACTACCTCCAGAGGAAGTGTAAATGGCTAAACCCCCTTGGCCAGCAATTTGGGAATATATAGTAAAGATAAAAATGTGCATATTCTCTGACCAATCATTCCACTTTTTGATATATACCTAGAGAAACCCTCACACTTGTATACCAAGAAACATGTGCAACAGAATTTATTAACTTAACAAATAATTGAAATTTCCATCAGTAGGGGAATTGATAACATGTGGTATATTCATACAATGGATGTGGATACCTCAACTAAAGTGAAAGAACATGATCTATGTGTAGCAACGTGGATAAACTGCAAAAACATAATGTTGAATGACAAAAGCCAGTTGTAGAATGATGTGTACAATAAACTATTTATGCACATTTGGAATGCACTCAAAACAAATCATTATATTGTGTCTAGATTCACATATATGTAGAAAAGTTTTTAAGAAGGAGGGGAAGGATATATTACCCTGGAGAACTTTTACTTCTGTGGAGGAGTGTGGGGTAGGGAGGGACCAGGGATAGGTACAAAGGAATGTTGAATTTTGTCAAGTTTTATTCCTATAATTTAAAAACATCTGAAACAAATATGACAAAACTTTAACATTTGTTAATTCTGGGTGTTAGATTCATGGGTTTCATTATTTTCTGTACTGTTCTGTATTTAAAATATTTTTCCACATTGAAAACAAAATCTGTCTTTGAGGCTAAGAGGCAGAGTAAAGGAGGGAACAAAGCAGAGGTCAGTGTGGGGAGATGTCATGGAGGGAGGGAATGTGGAGTGAATGTTAAAAGAGAAGAAGAGAACTGGGCACATGGGAGTCCTTCCTCATTTCCCCTGGGAAGCTCCTCACTGAGAGGCAGGCAGAAGTCCCAAAGGACAATGCCTTGGCCTGGACGAGCTTTCTGAGGCTGCAGTGGCACCTGGCAGCCTGGAGACAATGTGACAGACCTACTCTGCCCTCTTCTCTGTGACCTCTGGGAGAGGAGTTTACTCTCTCTGCTCCATTGAATCCCAAGGCTCTCTGCCCAGGTTCTCACAAGAATGCCAAACCGTGCCTGGTGTGTGGGTGGTATTGACCAAGCAGACACATCCATACCTGGATGGAAACAGATTAAGAATCTTCTGGGTCACTTTGAGTCCAACGGGCAGAAAACATTTAGATAGGTTACTGATTCAAGGTGAAATCTGCTGAACTCAGATGGCAGTATTTGGGGGAAAAGAATTTTTCAATAAATCATCCAATTGGCAAAGTGACTAAGAAAATGAGGTGGAAGAATCTAACCCGACTTTGTGACAAGCGAACAAATAGAGGAGATTAATGCCTCTTCCGATATGCTTCAAAAGGCGATCAAACAACCATTCTTGATTTTACAAGAAAAATGAGGCACATAGCTTTCCAGCTCTAAAAAAATCATTGTTTCTTTGTTTTCTGGTTTCTTCCGAGTCCCTATACCATGTGGTTGGAAAAGCAGGAAACTAGTTTCATTTCCAGAACCTTCTCTGGACCTATCTCAGGGTGCCCTGGGCTCCTCTGAGGTTCCCCAGCCCCATCCCAAGGTTTATGCTGCTCATTCAAACGTAAACTAGTAGAGGACAGCACCAGAATCCAAATTCAACCTGTCATACCGGATCTGGATTTAAAAAACTATATATAAAAAACACAATTCTGTCCTACTGAGAAACGAAGCCATTATCTTCTGCCCTGTTCAAACAACCTGGCTTTTGTTTTTCAAATGCTCCCTAGATTCCCGAGGAAAATTAGAGTGTAGGGCAAAGGAAGAGTGAATAAGGAAGAGCCCCTGCTGAATGGACCTCTTTATTCTCCCGGGCCAGCCCCTCTTTCAGGATCTGCTTCTTTACCAGATCAGCGGGCCATTATGCCAAGAGTCTGTCGAAAGCCAGGATGGATCTGGGAGAGCCTGGCTCTGGGTTTTGCCTAGGCCTCCTGCAGCATCAGCAACAACCTGGCTCCTTTCAATTATAGAATCTTTATTCCCGGCCTTGACACAGAGGCCCAGAGGTCCCAGCTGTGTTCTAGGGGGCATAACATTTGGGGCTTGCTGGGGAAACAAAGGACATGACCAGAGCAGATGTGGGTCAGGTGGGTTCAACGTAAACGCTCCCTTCCCTTCTGCATGAGGTTCCGTGGGCCCACTCCATTAAAATCAACTCCCAATTCCTAAATTCCCAAAGCCTGCTCCTGCTTTTCCCTCTCCACTAGGTCCCAACACCCCTTATCCTCACTCTGAGCTGGCCAAACCTCTGCTTTTCCACCCAGCAGGCACTGGGGCTTTCATAGTGAACTCTGGGGACAAAAGGAAAAATGGATTAATGGGCTCCTCCCCCAACCCCTGCCACCTTTCCCACTTCAGTTGCACAAAAGGGCTGAACTCTACCTCTGCTGGGACCTGGCTCCTCTCAGAGTCTGAGCCATCAGGAAGCTGGTGGCTATGAGCTCCCTCTCGTTTGGGGCCAAGTATTTCCAGGGTCTTGAGCCCAGCCATGAGAGGCCAGGACCCCCAACAAGTGCAGGATGGACAAAGAGGATGCAAACAGCGTGGTATTACCATGGTAATGGCCTGAGCCAGGGGGCCTCCTGAAGATGCTGGGAGGGTGGGTTTTCTTTCTTTAACATTTTCTTTTTTTTTGCAAAAGGAGAATAGTTCCGCTTTCTATTTTACTATAACAATAGCATGGACCGGCTCCTTCAAGTGTTTCAGAAAGCAGCCTGAGAAATCTCTAACCAAGCCCCTCCATCTCTCCAGCCTGCCGTTTTATTGTCCCTCCCATCCCAGTGAACAAAGGGGCAGCAAGGGTCTAAGGCCCCCAGTTGCCGGCTGTTCTCAGCATCCTAATCCTTAAGAACCAGTAAGGGGAATGGCCTGTGGAGCCAGTAAATCGAATTTTGGCCTCACCTTTTATTCTGTCCCTCTGCTCATGTACTCAGGAGCTCTTCAGGTATTATAAAACCTCCTGGTTAGCAGGCTGGGAGGAATCTTGGGGCTTGCTAAGGGGATAAACGGCACCTAGGGATCATTCCCACAGTCACTAACAGCCCCGTTCCCCCAAAGGGTAGGCTGTTCTGATTGTTCTTTCCCACCGCTCCAGGCTGGCTCCATTACAAAGACGGAATGTCAAGCCACAAGTGGCTGGGCTGGCAGTTTCTTTTGTAGTTGGTACCAGAGGAGCTGCCCTCACTCTTCCAGCCCTTTGCCTCTCTGTCTCTATGCCCCTCAGACGTGGAATGCACATTCTCCCCGGAGCTCTGGGTACCAACCTCCACACCACCTCCAGGCTATCATGCCACAGCAACCCTCACACAAGGAAAGCTTCTTGGCCTTGACTGCTGGTCACTTTGCAAGGTTACCACCCAGGGATCAAAGGTTTCTTTGCTTTAAACCAGGGGAATTGTGCAGGTGTTTTTTAGCTCAGTCATCTGGTAAATGTGGGGGAAAAAATAAGCTTTTATGTTCTGGTTTGTGGAGATCTCAAGGGTACAGCTCTGCCGAGCGAAGTGAATGATAAGTACACCATCTCCTAGGAGGATCAGATAAAGCTGAAATGGGAAGGCCTTTAGAGATCACCCAGGCCGATGACTAAAACCCAAGTAAGAAAAACATCTTGCACTGCAACCTCTGTACACAAACCTGTAATTCACATACACACACATACAATCACACAACAAATACTCCATGAAACAATACAATAGGTGTGATATAATCTGATAATTTCTCTTCTCCTCTATTTCATTTTTTTAATGCTGGTTGTGATTCATTCATTTTATTTCACAACCTGCCAATGGGTTGGAGCACCATTTGCAAAGCACTGAATCAAGGGCAACATGGTCATTTTCAAGTGCACTAAACTAGAGTGCCAGAGATTTTCTCAAGATCACACCAGAGCTGGAACAGAAATCCAAGGGGTCTCTCCAATAAAGGAGGGGTCTCCATTTTTCCGAGGAGCAACCTCCTTTTTTGTTTTCCCAAAGTCTCAGCAGTACATAGCTAGAGGGGAGGGAGTGCCCAGAGGTTTATATTCAGTGGCATTGCTGAGAGGGGCCAGGGGTTCTGCTGCCTCTGGAAACCTTAGAGAGGGAGGTGTTGCCTGGGGGAGGGGGATGGAGAAAACAGCTTTGAAGCAACCAGGTAGGGCTCTGTGGTCTCCTAGACATTTTTATTTACTGGTTGGGGTTTTTGCGTCATTGGGCACTTTCCTGAAGGTTTCTCTTTCCTGGACACACAGCTCCAGGTTGGCCTCCTTTAGTAATCCACTTTCTCCCATTTTCCAACTTTTTCTAATAGTCTTGTTTTTTTTTTTTTTTATAGTTTTTTAACCTCTACCAATTCATTGTATTTCCAGTCTCTACTTTCTCTAAACAACTTCCTCTTTCCTGTTGAAATCATGACCTTAGCAATGAGCGTCAGAGAGGCAACTCTGTGATCTTGTTCCCACAAATATTATCCTAAAAGTTATCTAAATTAGACCAGCCTTTGAAATGCTGTTTACCAAAATGCCCAGTGATCAAGATACAGGCACCATATCAAGGCTCTCAATACAAGCCATCTGGGCAGAACTGGCTATTTTCCTCCCGAAATTGTCTTGCAATCTTCCATAGAACTTCTTGAAATCTTCATCTAAGTTTGCTATTTACTAGACTCCTAATCTTTTAAGAAAGGCTCTAAAAATGAAGAGTCAAAAGCCACACTGTGCATGGGGTAAATACAAGTCCAGCTCTCTGATTGCTTATTACTTATACACCCTTAGAGAGTATGCAACAAAAGGGCCTGCTGTTTGCTTTGCTTAATCTGGTCTTAAAATCTCTGCTTCTTTGTCAGAAAACAATATTTGCAATTGTAAAAAAAATATTTACCAAGGAACTTGGATAACATAAGTCAAAGGCTAAGAGCCAAAGGTCAGTAGTTCTTACCCCAAATTTCCCTGGACCCGAGTCCCTGCTGTGGAGCTCAGCTGCACCAAACAAACACGCTGCTTTTCGGGTCCATTAAGAAGCAGGCGTTTTAGAAAGGGAAGGAAAGAGGACTGTTCCTCAGTCAGAAGCATGAACTCTCCAGCCTGCCCCACAAAATTCCTGCTAGGTCTTTGCAATGCAATGTGTCTCTATGGGGATACTGCAGGGACTTGCCTGTTTCACAAATCTGGGAAAAATACTCAACTTACAAAATCCTAAAGGGCAGATGTTCCTCCAATGGATGCCATGACAATATGCTCCTCTGTGGTTCAGGCCAGATGTTCACTCATGCATCTTTGTGGATGGGGCCTCCTGCCTGACAGCAGGGGACAGATGTGTATCCTGAGCACTTCTGTGGGGACCCTTCTTCATCTACAAAGCGGTTTCGGACATCTGACCCTATGGACTAAGTTCAATGGTGTTTGAATTTACCCCCTCATGTTCACTGTTTTCTGGACAGATCTGCCAGATCAGACGCCTTTCCTAACCACCAGAGGATCCAGCATCTGGGAGTGAACCACCATAGTAGATCAATCAGTGCCAAGTTGTGGCCTTGGGGCGCTCTACATGAGTTAGAACTCAGCACCTTCCAAGTCCCAGGCCCATGTCACAAGGTGCAGGTTAGCAAGGCCTGGTCCTCAGTCAGGACTTGAGCATAGGGAAAGGAAACAGAGTAACCAGGAGGCTGAGGAAGCATGGCTCATGGAGCCATGACAAAGTGCCCCACAGGCTGCCAGCCCAGATGGTTCTTCAGCCTGCTCAGCAAGTGGGCTCTGAGGCAGTGCTGGGTCCTCCACGCTGGTGTCAGAGACTTAATGCCTGGTTCCTCAGTCCATAGGATCTGCGAAGAGGACTAGGGTGGTGGCAGTTCCTAGCTTGCTTGGTTTGACCCTTATTCTTTGGTTGTCTCACTGTTAGGAAATTCTGTAGTTCTCCCTCAGCCCCACCTCCACCTTCTGTCAAATTCTTGCCACTACTGCCAATCTCTTTTTATCTCATCAAGATAAATATCATTGGTCAATTTCTCTTGGCCTTTGATTCTGTCCTGAAGTAGCTTCCATCAGGAGCAGAGCAGTAATTATCACCAGCAATGGGCAGCACTGAGCACAGTCAGCTTAAAGAAATGGCTTAATCCAAGAATCTTACCTTGAAGAACCAGGCCTTCCTTCTTGATGGTGTAGACAAATGAGGTAAAGGGAGCCAGAGGGGACTTGGCAATGAGAATCTGCACATAAAGCATATTTTCCCAGGGTTAGTCACGGGAGATATCAGAGATGAGCCTCTGTTCACTCTCCTTCGCACTTTGAGACAAAGTGGTAACATAGGACTACAAACTATAAGGTCTATTTAAAAAAAATGATTTTAGAACTAAATGAGTGTTATTCTTTTAATCAGCTGATCATCTTGGACGGCTGTACATTTATTCTGACTGTTCTGCCACCGAATGCCATATTCTTGAACCAGTTCTTTTAGAAATAAGTTTCATTATTTTAAGTCACATGCTTAACAGTTATCTTTCTGCCCAAAGATAAACCTAGCTTGATTCTCTAATTTTATTCAAAAACGTAGCTATTTACTAAAAAAAAAAATTCAAAGCTACCCTTAAAAGATAAAGATTTACCATCATTGTAAATATTCAAAATAACTTGTTAAAAGCAAAGCAATGATCGGTTGCTCTGTTGGCCCCAACTCTTCGCCAAGTCTGTATTCTTACCCTTTGCCATGTGACTGCATTTTTTTGTTACTTAAGGTGTAGACTATTTCCCATGGCCCTTGACTGTGGGTGCGGCCATATGACTTTTTGGCTACTAGGTTATGCCAGTTCTCAGTCTAGGCCTCAAGAAGCCTCATGATCTCCACCTGTCTCATGCTTCTACTACTTCCAGAGAAAAGTATGTCCAAGCTAATCTTCTATCTCAGAAGGAGGTTGAGAGACACCTGGAGCAGAGCTGGCCAGCCAGGCCCAGCCTAAATAGCTGACCCCCAGGAGACCCACCTACACATTAGTTAAATGCTTATTACTGAATGCCTCTGAGATTTTGGTGGTGCTGTCATGAAGCATTATCAAAGCAAGAGTTGACCGATATACCAGCCAACACAAAATATCAAAAATATTTTGAGTAAGGGCATTCTCCTAAGAAGATACCTACTTTAAAGGGATGGTCATTAGGGCATTAAAAAAATTAGTGTCGGGGCTAGCCTGGTGGCGCAAGCGGTTAAGTGCATGCGCTCTGCTGCGGTGGCACGGGGTTCGCCGTTTTGAATCCCGGGCGCGCGGCGACGCACCGCTTGGCAGGCCATGCTGTGGCGGCGTCCCATATAAAGTGGAGGAAGATGGGCATGGATTAACATCCATGCTAGCCCAGGGCCAGCAAAAAAAGAGGAGGATTGGCAGATGTTAGCGCAGGGTTGATCTTCCTCACACACACAAAAAAAATTAGTGTTATTAACCCCCCTTGTCACACTTCATATTGTTCTTCAGAACCTCTGACTGGTGGATTATTTTATTATAACCTTTCTCTTGAAGGAAGATAAATATCAGTTTCCTGTTTTATAAATTAACATCATCAAAAATAGAGCCAGTTTGGCACAGAGCCACTTAGGTAATCAGGGAGGCAAGGGAGAAGGAAGAAATAATTTCAAGTAACCAAAAGGCTTACATGTAATATCTCAATCTATTTCAATTCAACAAACATTTACTGACTGTCAACTACGAGAAATGGTGGAATGATGTGCAGAACGATCACAGGTTATACTCATGAAGTTTGAATCTAGGTTCTTCCTCTAATTAACTTGGTATCTATGGGAAGGCCTGCAATTTTCCCATAGTAGCCACCGCCCCCCACCCCATCTTCCTTTTAGTTAATAACTGCCCAGGTTTCAACATTTCTCTGCCTCTTTTGCAACTAGGTGTGGCCATGTGACCAAGCTTTGACTAACAGAATGTGAGTACAAGTGACAGGTAGAATTTCCAGATTATGTCTTCATAAGAAAATTGTGTGGGGGCCGGCCCGGTGGCACAAGTGGTTAAGTGCACACGTTCCGCTGTGGCGGCCCGGGGTTCGCCGGTTCGGATCCCGGGTGTGCACCGACGCACCGCTTGTTAAGCCATGCTGTGGCGGCGTCCCATATAAAGTGGAGGAAGATGGGCATGGATGTTAGCCCAGGGCCAGTCCTCCTCCTCAGCAAAAAAAGAGGAGGATTGGCATTGGATGTTAGCTCAGGGCTGGTCCTCCTCACAAAAAAAAAAAAAAAAAAAAAAAGAAAATTGTGTGCTCTTCACTTTCCCTTTCCCCCTCCCAAGGGCAGGAACCAGCTTCAACCACATGGACGTGGACATCCTGGGGGATGATGAAGCAACACAGGAGAAGGCATCTAGGTGACCTCATAAAGCATCAATGCCTCCCATCTGGGGTCACCTATCCACCTCAGGACAGAGCCATTTTTCTGAACCACTGTATTTTGGACGCCTTTATTTCTACGGGCATAGGTTGAATTCCAACCAATACTGTAATTTGGACAACCTAACTTTTTTGAGTTTCAGTTTCCTCACATGTAAAATGGCAATAGCAACACCCACCTAAATGGGATTATTGTGAAGATTAAATTAAGTATATAAAATGCCTGTCACTGTGTCAAACTAACAAGAACATTTCTGACCAACTCATCACATATGCTTTCCAAGTACCCCTCAACTTTCACTCATCAAAAACCAGTACACTTGGCTTTTATCAGAAGGATTCACCTCAAGTTGATGCTCAATAATTTTTATAACTGCTCTAAAGTTATCTAGATAAACTTGCTCATCATTCTCAGAACCAATGAGTAGATGGTATAGGAGGGCATTTATATCTTCATGTCAAAAACATCTCACCTGAAAATTAAGGTGGATCCTTTCTGACAGAGATAGTTGGGGGATGGTTCAATGGGAAGTTTATGGATGCCCATTGGTAGGGGAATAGCATGGCGGAAGAGAGGACAGTGCTTTTCAAACTTTAATGTGGGTATGAATCACCTACAGCTCCTGTTGACATGCAGTTTCTGATTCAGCAGATTTCGAGGGGGGCCTGAGAGTCTGCATTTCTAACAAGCTCCCAGGAAATGCTGATGCTGTGGTCCATAGACCACATTTTGAGTATCTGGGTTCCAGGAAATATCCTGATTGAAGAGTCCAAGATGGAGAAGCAAGAGATAGGAGTCTTGGAGCCACTTAGGAGGCTATTGTGATAATTCAGGGATGAGATGACAAGGGCTTAAACCACAGCTGTGTCAGAAAGAATGGGGAAAAAGGAAATGGATAAGAGCAACATAAATCCTTTAGATCAAAGAGCAATAGAAAAAAACTAAACATATCCAAAACTTCAGATCTTTATTGTCTGCAGGAAGCAATTGGATATGAAATCAAAAGGGTATAAATAAATAATAACCAATAAAGTTCAAAAATCATATTTTTGAAAATTATATTACCATTTTTATTTTATAGACTGCAGAATCTGAGACTCAGAAAAAAAAAGGATGTGATATTCCAATGTAGCACAACAAATGGCATCTGAGCCTAAGCCTTCCAGTTCAGTGGTGCTATCTCCATCATCTGACTGCTTCCTCTCCCAGGGAGCACAGGCCCACTCTGTGAACAAGCCTGGAGACCCAGCCGGGAGGACCTCACGTGGAGGGACCTCACACTTGGAAGGCCCTCCCTTCCAGGGAATCAAGGGGTTTGGACAGGTCACTAATTAATGCCCTGCCCTTCCCAAGCAGGGTTTAAAATGGGTTATCAAAAGGATGCTTTGTGTGCAGTTAGAAAGAGGAAGTGATCAGTTATGTCACATGAATCTCACTTCCTTTTTTTTGGAAAGAACTTCCAGATTGATAGATCACAGGGCTACCACCAACACAAAATGTCTGATTTTCAGCAGAAAATGTAACAAATTCTCAATAGCTTTCTGCTTAAAGTGAAGACAAGTTGGGCTGGATGCTAATACCATTAAGTGGATTTATAAGTGACCAAAAGATCAATAGCAATCTGGTGAGGGGTAGCAATCTCTAGTAGAATGTATTGGATTCTAGCCTTGGTCCTATCACGTTCAACATTCTTATACACCGATGGATTCATCCACATCCCTACAACAAATATGGGATCCAGCAGGGAATAGAACCGATAAAAACTGCTACCCTAAAAGAGCTTATATTCTAAAGGAGGTGAAAAGATAATAAATAAAAAAAATATGTGGTATGTTAGATGACTACATGTGCCATGGACAAAAAAAGCAGAGAAAGAGTATAGGAAGTCTATTGGATTGAAGGAGGGGGTCAATTTTAACTAGAGTCTTAAGAGAAAACCTCACTGAAAAGGTGACATTTGGACCTGTGATTCATGTAATGAAACCCATTGATGGGATGCTGAATATAGTAACAGAAGACAAAAAATTTAGAGAAAGAGTTAATATATTAGATAAGACAATCATAATATCAAAACAAATCTCAATTTGGTTAGTCTGTTGGGACAAATCCTACAAATCTTTTAGGATGCAATTTTATTGAAATATATGTAAGGCCTTGTCCTTGAGAATAAAGGACCAACTATTGGTTACAGAACGGAGGAGATGAGATATGGCATTCAGGACGGTTGGTTAACCACAGTTCAATACGAGTCAGTTGTGAGATGTGGTTCACAAAAATCTAGTGTGGTCTCAGGTTATATCAATGGAGACACAGTATTGGAACAAGGGAAATGATGGTCCTGCCCTCCTCTTCATTCAGCAAGCCATGCTTGGTGCAATGTGTTTGGATTGAAGCCCAAATTCCAAAAGGGAAACTTCAAACATGAGAACAACTGGAGGAGAACCATCAGCATGGTTAGATACCCAAAGCAACCCGTAAACATAAACACTTCAATGCAAACCTGATGGTAAGAGGCCTGGGGTGAAGTTGCATATTGCTTTTAATGTGAGTTTTTTGATCTGGAGATTCTGTAGTGTCACATAGTAGAGAGCGAAAGTGTAAATTAGCTTTCTAGCCCAACAGATTTCAGAAAAAAGTGATGCTTGCCACGCATCTTGGTGAATGCATATGGACTCTTCCCTTTTTCAGACTTGAATCAATACCCCACAACCTTGTGCCTTTTTGCCTTTCAAACTATAAATTATCCTTTTCTATAGCAAACAACTCTCCCTAGCAGATAATTTAGGCTGCTCTGGTTCAGATGTTCAGTCATCCCATAAATTT